CTGTCAATCAGGTCGCAGCTGGATGACCTCCTTTGGAGGCACTAAGGAGATAAATAGCTCGATGGAGGCGGGACACATGCTCACTCCCTGGGAGACATTCCATCTGACAAGACGCATGGAGCTACGCTAATGTCTTGAGCCGAAGAAGCCACATGGAGACCCCTGCCAGCGCTGAGATGCTCACACTGCCACTGGATCCACAAGACTTTCCACACACTGGCCTGTGAGCTTCCTGCACTCAGCATTATTCCATGGCCGTGTGAGTCTAAAAAGGGATTTATGGACTAGCATTGGACATATGGGCTAATATTGGACTTAAGGACTTGATTTGGACTGGGCTGGGACATTTTCTCAATATTCAATTGCTCTTGTATATAAAACTCTTTCTTATACACACATGAGTGTCTCTATGAATTTGTTTCTCTAGTCTACCCGGACTAACACAATGTGCGCATGCTATTATGCTCAGGTGTTCCTTTACCGTTCAGAACACTGCTGCTGGATTGATCAGGATACAGAAAATGAAATATGATGACAAAGAAAACGAAAATAGAAAGAGGTCTTTATTTCGCTTTCAGGAGAGCCACCTTACCGCAGTCACTGGAATAAAACCCCCTGTGCCTCAGAGGTCACTAGCTGAGGTTTGGGACCCTGTGAGCCATGATCACCGTGCGTGACTAAGGCGTCTGGGTCTCCCTTTTGCTAGCGACAAAATGGGCACGTTGGCTAAAACAGAGCAGCATGAATGGACGGGTGGGAAACTGACCTGCTCTGTAAGTCTTCACCCAATTCTCAATAAGAAGTTTTTCTTTAAAAAATGAATCCACTTTTCAAATTGTAAACACATTTTATTTTTCAAAGAAAATGTATGTCAGGGCTTTGGACACGTTGTCAGGAGAGGCCAGTCCCTGGAGAAGGACATGATGCTTGGTCCAGCAGAGGGGTCGCGACAAAGGGCATGCCCTCGACAAGCCTGGACTGCCCGGGGGCTGCACGGATGGGCTCAAACTTAAGAACAAGTGTGAGGCGGGCACAGGACCTAGCAGGGTTACTTTCTGTTGTATGCAGGGTCGCTATGAGTCAGAGCCAACTGGATGGCATCTAACAACAACAACAACGACAATAACTACAAGGAGCCTTGTAACGGCATCTAACAAAAACAACAACGATGTGTCTAACACAATAACTACAATGATAGCATTGTCAGGTAAGTGTTGGGCTGCTAACTGCAAGATTGTTGGTTAAAACCCACCAGCAGCTCCTATGGAGAGAGGGAGGCTGGCTGCTCCTGAAAAGATTCCTAGGCTGAGAAACCCTAGATAGGGTCACTCTGAATTGCAATCAATCTAAGGATGGTGGGTGTACTGTTGCTGGGGCACCAATCATCTTTGCTATAAATAAAACAGGACATGCAGCCACAATGTTAAACGAAGTCATCCACCCTGCTTATAAACCACAGCCAGCGTCTGAATTCCCTGAGCCTGAAGGAGGCTCACTTTATTCAAAAGGTAGGATTCCCAAGTGGCAGAGAGGTGCTGACCACGACCCCCAAGGGAAGACTTTCTCCCTAATGGGATCCCAAGGAAGAGCAAAAACCTGGACGGGGAGAAGAGTCCAAACCATCTGTCTTTGGCACCAGCGCAATGCTACAGCAAGCCTTCATGAGTCGTACTGAACGGGGCTCGGAGCCAGGCTGTTCGTTTTCAAATGCTTTTTGGTGGTGAAGGCTTGTCTCATGCAATCTCACATGAACGTCTAGTGTACAAAAAGATTTGGTCAACTAGAAGTTCCTCTGGTAGAGGGGGTGAGGCTTCTGCCCTCCGCCCTCTGGCGCCTCTTCCCAGTGGAACTTTTGGGTTCCTCTGATCCCCATCAGTAAGCAGCACCATTAAGCCCTGGCAGGCACGAAACTGG